TTTACTTAAAATACGATAGAAGAGAACAAATTCGAAGTGCAAACATGAAACTTGACTGTCAGAGAAAATCTGAAATACGCTTCATGACCACTTGCACGTGCGTCCAGTAAGCAATGAGCTACAACTATAGTGTAACGGCTAACGATACTATCTGGCTGATCAAACTTTGGTAGGTGAGACAGTGCTCAAACCTATGAGCCACTGGTGAAAAGTTGAGTGCCTAGATGAATAAGTCACAGTTTTATTTATCTCATCTAGAATGCATTAGTGAGTTAATCTATGGTTAGACAAAAGGTTTCAATAAAACATTCTGAAGACTACTATAAGAAGTATAAGAAATTATGTCTGAAGCATGAAAAATGACCGCATATTCAAGCAGAAAATGATCATAATTACTTAGTTTTCTTTGAATTCTGAATTTCGTTCTTGGATATTTAGTCATCAAACTAGGAGAATTCATCAACATTTACTCCATGTAAAAGTGAAGCAATTTTCAGTTGTATGGAATTTTATAAATGATATCTGCCAATTTAGGGAGTTATTGGTTTGTAGGCAAGAGTGACCTGCCCTTCTTTTTTATCAGTAGATTTTTGGTGTTGTCTTTTGATCTATGCTGCTGATCTAATGTCTCATTATTGATTTGTTTGGTTGATTTACAGACGGCTGACCCCTTTTTAGTAACCTGTATATTGGGTTTACTGATTATTGATTAGAGTACGATACTTCCAAGAACTCTCTTGCAGCTATTGAGCTTGTCTGTTGTAGAATTTTCACGTTGTTTCAACCAGAGTTGTGGGTGAGCTCCACTACATTTTTCGATATCAATGAAGATACATCATGTCGTTTGACTGCTAGTTGATGCTCAAAAATTATTTGGCCTATTCAGCAAGATTGTTCAACATAGTGGTGTTGACAGCCCTTGCAACTAATTTTGTAGATTACCTTCCTCTTGTCTTCCTTGAGTAGCAGATCCTTCAGTTTGCATGTGTTCTTCAGGGATTTAGTTGGTTTGTGTGCCACGCTGATACTCAGTAGATGAACTAATACGGTAACAGTTTCTGAGACATCTTAGATGTATGGCCAAAAGATTCGTTCTATATGTTGCGGCAATTGTTCTGATACGTGTTCTGTTAGTGAGAATTTCTCGATGGTGATTGGACAGTCACTGGCTCTGAACGTCTTATAAAAATTGTTTTCTTCCGACTTCTGCAGCTGTTAAGTGCTTCAGTGAGTTTTGGCACGTGCGAACAATGCTCATATGAAAATCATCTAATGAGACGTTTGGTTGCTACTGCAGTAGTTCAAAATTTAGTCTGTGTTTAGCTTTTCTGTACAAGTGGATGTGTATGGCTTCATCATCTTATGAGCACACCAACGAACCCAATTTCCTTACTTTTTTTCTACTTCTTTTGTGGATCCAATACCTTGAAACGCTTGGTTTATGAGACTAAACGTGTTTTCCGATTTAATCGTTTTGATAATTACAAAAGTGATGTCAACGTAACAAATCCAAATATTCGGTTGGATTCCTGGAATGAATACCGATTCTAATCTCTGCACGTGATAGGCAGAATACAGGTAGGGCCAACAGGGGACCTGGCATTTCTGCGTAGTGGTCCAAGTTGCCACACATCATAGCGACACATCAACCGAGGAATCCTAGACCCACTTCAGTTAACACTGCATGACTAGGCAGACGGTGACTAGGTATGCGCAACATATGTCCCAGCTACTGATTGGTCATTGGATGGTAACCGATTTCATGCTATCCAACCCTCCAGTCCTACAGGAAGCTAATCGTGACCCAAATAGCTCAGTGATCACATCTTTGACCGCAGCACTGAGTAAAGCGGTTTCGAATTTCAGGTGGGAAATCAGTTCCGTCAAGGTTGCAGATATGCACTGCTGATGAGTGCCAAAAAGCACGAAAATTAGGTCCAGAGCTCTCTGCCGATTGCCTTCATCCAATTAATACATGTCCCGGACGCTTGAGTCAGTGACGGTTCACAACCTTATTAAGTGACTTTTCCTCCCTAAAAATCCACACCTGACTTCTACATCACTAACATGGTGATACTATGACAAACGGTTTATGCTTCGAAGTCAGCGGTGGTCAAATAATTGAAGCCTTCTCGTGTCCCATACCTTGCATGGCCATGTTTTACAGCCATACATTAGAAGAGAGTGAACTGCAGAGCAGTACACTCGACCCTTGATAGACAATCGAATAGCACGTCGACGTAGGTTGGTGAAAATCAATCGAGCCTTTGTATCCACGGCAACATTTAATAGGCTACTGGTTCACATGGACTGACCGAACTTCCCGGATAAGTGGGGTGGTCAAAGCGCTCAACCATTTCGCTCGTTACGTTAGATAGAGGACCACTGAAGACCAGTCCTGGAGTAACAGTTTACATTAATGTGACTAGAAACGCATCCCAAACATACTCCAATTGCCTCTCTAGAAGACTCTTATTTTGTCAGCGTCTCAAATTAATAGGACTGCGTCATTTGCGTACTCTAGATCTGCCAAGGATTCTCCTGTGATAAGACCAATCCCTGTGAAGTCAGATGATGAAAAGGATATCTCCATCAGCACGTCTATGATAACGTTGAGAGTTGACATCCTTGACGGCAACCACTCAGGGTACACAACTCACCTGACAACTAACTATAGGCTCTAATACGTTCGGGGTCGCTCGATTTTAGAGCCTTTACCAGTGACGTACTTACTCGATACCCTTTTCAGTGCGAGATGCTGTCATAAGACCCCTTGGTCGAGGGAGTCGAGTGCCTCCCTTAGGTCCAGAAATACAGCTAGTGTCAGGCGTTAGTGAGCCTCCATGCGTCCTAGAACCTGGGGGAAGGTGAATATCTAGTCAGTATTACCACGGCCAGGTCTGAGGCCTCCTTGGTTTTCTCGTGTTCGCTGTTCCCGTGCTCCAGTTGCAATTATACTGAATATAGAACATAGAATCTCAGACACTGTTAGTCAAGTTGATTCCCCTGTGGTTAACACAAGAAGATTTCTTCCCTTTCTCGAAGACTGCAACAATTAGAGGTGGTTACATCCAACTCCCAATTGTCTACTGTTACCCATCACCTCTGCCTTTTCTGTCTCTTTAGTCCACGCTGCTGACCACTGTTCGCGGTTATAGCATAGACTTTTCGCCAGTCTATATTTGGGTTGCTTCGCATCCCACTGGACTCAGATCCTACAGGGATGTGTCTGCATGCATCCATCACTTCAGAAGAAGCTACTAAAATGCACTGGTTCTTGTTAATTATTCTATGATAGTCGGTTACGGTCTTCAACGTTGTTTTTACAGCAGATTGCAGATGGTACTAGGCTTATCCATCTGTGCACCACTGTCTTAGCGATCAGTTCGGTTTTAGCAAGCCCATAGCAGCCCGTTTAGTTGGTTTGTAGATTTTCCTGTTGCAATGAAAGTATGTCGGGAGATATAGGTTGATTATTTTCACCAACTTTGTAGCAGCAATTTTCGTGTAACTTTGAAGATTCTGGTCATTTGTGAGCAGAAGAACTGTTTCTTTGGCTAGATCTGAGTTGATTGATGTGAAAAGTGCAGTAACACCGAAGGAAACCACTTTTCGTCATTGTTTACACCTTGAGGCCCTTTATTCCTTCCAGGGACTGAGTTACTGAATTGACTGGATGTTGATTTACATCGACAAGATTTTCAGGTGTATTGCGTAGCTCTTCGGATAAAAAGACAGATGACCTCAACCCACAAGGTGATGACTCTCAAGATTAGCGAATATCCTTTATAATCATTCACGCAACTTAGAAATGCTTTACTTATATTTCAGGTAATCGCTGATGACGTCACCTAGTCTGGTGCCCAAAAACAAATTCAGTTCTCATTGTGAGCTACAAGATGACTGTGATGTACTTATTACACTAACTACCAACCCTAGCAAAATCATTAATTTCCATTTAGTTTCATCGTAAAATTCTCGGTCAATATTGCGATCTAGTGCTGATGATACAGCTTGCTGAGACAATATATTGATTCTGACAAACAATAAAAAAACATTTTATCTGAAATGTGTGATGTATTAGAGCAATACATTTCGAACAATCTGATCATAAACTAACTTGTCACGTCCATTTATATGAACCGCAACGAAGGATAAACGGGTTGAAAAAATAGTACATATTGTGAAGGTTCAAATAGTTAGTTTAGGGATGACAACCATGTATTACATTGATTACCCTTGGTATTAAAGCCCAGTTACCGAGAGCCGCTTAATGTAACAACAAATTCCTTTTGAATATGGAAACGAGGTCTAAACTTAGGTATATGCCCGAAATTGGCTTTGTAGATAGGTTGGAAACATAAAGACAAATCAACCTTGCTATCAGTATTAATCATATGTCCAGCTGTATACGAAGTTGGACATCTACTCCTCGAGTCGATGGGATCATTGAATTTGATGTATTGTTGTAGTCATTTCGGAATGTGCTCTAAAATACTTGATTATATGGATCGATAAGTCCTTCCCACGTATATTCGACCATACGCATATGTAAACTCATGAACACAACTAGATTTGACCTCATCGTTCAAATGCTCCGAGGGTTTAGAGGAGTACATAGGTTTTATTTTCTTCACAATCTTGTCCTTTGACCCATAGTATGTGCTATTGGTTGCCTTACGTCTTTGTTTAGTTGTCAGACTCTGAATCACTCATATATGTTGGCACAATATAGATATCTTTCTTTGCAACTGACTGAACAACAGATCTTTGTTGTGGAGATTTTTAAAAAGGATCAGCTGTTTCAAATAAATTGATAACCATATGTTGCATACATTTAGGTGTCTTAGCGAAATCAATGTACTGGACAAAAACTTAAATGGATGCGTAATTTTTACATAAAATCATCTTAATGAAGCAGTCAGCCAAAAGAGTAACCCATATTTAAGTTCTAAACAGCTCACTCCGTAACCACATCACAAGAACTGTAGAGTACTTACCTCAACAATAACTTGCAATATTCCAGTGCACTTCGGTAGCAACCACGGTCACCAACCGTTACTATATAGCGAAAAAGTGCTACGAACAAACCTCTTTGGTAAATGGAAAAGGATTGTCATAATAAGGGATTACCGATTAACTTGGCGCTTAAAGTCTAAACGACAAGATCCGTTGAGCGGGTTGAACGAAGGATGAAAAGCCGACTGAAAAGCATGAAGTACACGTTCTTAAAAAATCATAAATACTTAGAATGAATTCTGTTCGCTCACCTAGAAGATCAATGCCCAAAGTTGTATCCTCCTGATGCATCATTATCTCACTCAATTGTAGCAGGGAATCGATATGGTAAGGACTTTCATAAAGTATACTCTATGAAAAGTGTTAAGCAAACAAAATCTGACATTACACTCAAGTTATTCGGATTCATAGACTCTAAAGCACTGTAAAAAGACTTCTGAACATTTGATATTCTTTATTGTGTACGAATGTATATAAGCCACCACCCAAAGGTTCCATACTTAGGCCAAGTCGTACAACAGGCGGCCAAGTGGATTTTATCAATACAAGAGCACCCCGTTTAGCATGACTTCGTTTACTTCGTAAAGATACTCTATGTTCCCCGATAACTGCTGATCCGAATATACGACTGAGTTCAGCAACATGATCCAAGATTTTTATGTTTACTTTGAGCAAATCTACCACTTGTTTAGTCTGGTCAGTCGCCTCTGGTTCACTCTGAAGTTTAAGACTGTCCACGCCGTTAACAAGATCTACAGACTTCTGGAAAATGTGCACCGTGAGAAAAAAGTATACCTCCTTTTGCTTGTTTCTTCGCTTTCTCCGCCTTTTAGACTTAACTGGCTCATTGTTATCAATAACGTATTCATCCGATGAAGGGATTTTAAGCTGTTGGGAAGAAAAAGAATTTATGAACTGAAAAATGTCTTAAGAAATGAACTAGTAGCTCACGTGGGTAAAAATAGACCCTTTGGCAACAGAGTCACTATTACTGTCGTCATTTTCATCCACAGGGTTCTCGAAATCTTTCTTCAATTTTCTTAAGCCTCTGGATGACATGCTGCAAAATATTGACGAAACAACACCTGAAATTATGCAGAAAAAAACGAAAAATTGCACACACTTAAATCAATTTAGAGTGAATAACATACTATGGAGTCTTTTAAATGACACAATTTAATGAATCATTTATAAAGAAAACAGTTCATTTGACTGAAAAAATTAAGACCCCTTACTTGCACAACCCCTTCAAAATTATGCATTGCTGAAGGCGTCAAGATACAAAAGTATTAGAAATGTACGTGCCATCACTTGTGAACAGGCTTTTTTAGCAAATTACTAAAGGAATTTACACAGCTACATCACAAACTACACGCTGTTACAAGTTATTGAAGAAAAGGGAAGTGGAATTGTATGAAACTCACAAAAGGATGATTAATGAAACTCTCAGGATGTATTCATTTTCTGCCAACCATTCAGACTTTAATGTTGGTATTTGGAACACCAACAGAATTTTAATTTCTAGGACGTTCATTCATTCAATTAAAAGAAATAGGTTGCAGATTTTTTTTTCTGATAACGTTACTAATCAGAAACATCTGAGAAACATCAGTCTTACTATATTTCGGGAGCTTAAAGAAAATTTATCGACGGTAAGGTGACCAGGTGTGTAGCAGACATTTAATAGGATTTTCTTGACAGACTGATGGTTTTCAGTAGTGTGCGAAATCGCTTCTCATTTGAGCACACAGAAATCGAACGAAAGTGAATGCAAGACAAGTGAAAAGATAACAAAGAAACAATTATCTGTTCAAAAGTTTGGAGAAAACAGAGTGCGGATGAATCTACTTTACAACAATCGACTTTGGGCTAACCAAAACCTCATAAATTATTTCTCACACACTTGAAATAACAAACACATGCTCTGACTCACCTTACCACTGATCGTCGAAGTAAAACGTCACTCCACCAGTATGAATCATAACGGCCAGTTTAATAAATGCAAGCTTACAGTATCATCCAGTGACGCTAACACTGGATCTAGGTGGACTGACCAAAAAAATAGTTCTAAGTAACTTAATATAGTACATATAAGATACCCATGTATATTGTCTTCATTGCTTACTTCCAAAACCCTACTGTAGATTCATACATGTGCACATGTTTCCTCCAGTCACGAAATGTCTGTGACTCGACATACTTGATGGTAAGAACGGCTAATTCTCCTTTGCTAGGATGCGGAACTGAATATCTTCTGCTAAGCCCCACATCAGCAACGATGAGATTATAGTCTTCGGTAAGAAATTAAGGCCAATTAGTTATAAAGGTTAATCATCGTTGTTTGAGGTGACTGCAACATGACAGAGATAAACAAAATCAACGTAGAACCTCGCACACAATTGCATCGGTTTAGGTTGCCACACTTCACAGTAGTATACAAAGAAAACGTGGACCGAAAGAGAATGATATCAAAGTAGACAAAGGTGTATGCGAAGAAGAGAAATTTGAAAACCAAGGTTAACGAAAATATTCAAGCTTTGAAAGACGTCAGATTGAATATATCAGTGCATTTGAGACTAATTTTCAGCCACTTGACTGAAGGTCCCCAACTATTGATTCCAATCATCTCAACGGCCCCAACTAGCCAGTTTACACCTTTTCAAATGGTTAAAACCAAGAGTCAGAGACTTCATGGACTGGTTTCATGTTTTAGTCTGGCCATCCTCAGCAGGCTTCCAACCCAACGCAACTTCTGCTAGCACTGTACGTTAAGACAGACAATGACTAAGCATGTGCAGTATATGTTTAAGCCACCTTATTTGGTAAAGGTTCATAACTTCACTAAATGACTTGCCTGTCTCGCCTAGTACCCTTCGCCTAACTTCGATATTACTCACATGGTTATTTCACCTTATACGAGCAATGCTACGACGATACCTGTGTCCAAAAACATGTAGCCTTCATATCTTTTACTCTCGACAGCTGTATAACACGATAGAGGGGGCTCCACAGCAGTATACTCGCCCTTTGGTAGATAATCGGATATCTCACCGGTCGACTCGAGTCGGCAAATGCCAAACGGACCTCCTTTACTATCCAAGCTGAGATTTTTTCAACAACGAGCCTGTTCGGGCTGATGCAACTGCCCAAGTAAACGAAGTAGTTGATACATTCACTGACTTCACTCCCTATCCTTAAACTGGGAGTGATTACAGACCATTCCTGCGTTTGAGAGGCATGAAACACACGTCAAACACTCAGATTTCCCTTTAACACGCTCGACTCAAAGTCTACTTTAATGTACGGTGTTGGCAAAAGTAGGATTACGTTGAAAAAAGCTTCGGACACGTAGTGGTACACTATTTCTCAGAGTTGCTTCTTATGATGGTATCAGCATATGCATAGACCTTCCCTCTGACAGAACTTAACAAGTTCTAATTTAAATTTTAGTTAGTGAGCTCAAACACATATAGAAATTAACAGCATCTTCGGTTCACTGATGGCACCGTCAAGACTTCCATAATGTCAGATACGGTTACGGCGTAGGTGTGTAGAAAGCTCCAAGTAAAAGTGAGTTTCCCAATGTCTAGCTGCACCCTTTTTCCACTTGGACTGATACATTTATAATTTGTTTTACATAAGTTGAGTTCAGTGTCAACAAAAGGATAATTCCTCACAGTGGAACGTCCTAATTCAGTGACAGAACTCCAGAGAACGATAGCAGGACAGCAATCGATACATAAAGTATTTTGTAGGGCCATGAAATAAGTAACTACATTGTATTTATCTTTTTTGCTGTCTAAGAACCTTGTTGCCTTCATCCGATATCACTAAGACTGGATTTGAAATGTTACTAAACGGTGTTTATCCTATGTGGTTGACTGCGTCTCACCTCAGTCATTAGGCCTGAAGTGTGATGATCTGTAGTCAACAGTAATGTACTAATCACAATGCTGATATTGCTTACTGATGACTGAAGGTAAAAAGGACCAGGGTAACAGTAGGATTCTAGTCAAAATCCGACAAATGAGCGTACACCAGCCAGAAAACCTATTGAGTTTGAGAAATCTGCAAATTTCGAGTGCAGTGCAGAAAATGCATATTTACCCCACAAAACTGAATGTTTTTCCGAAATATTTAGAATATTTCAAAGTTAGCCCAATAATTTTATCGAGATTTTACAAGAATTCCAAAACTCACAAAAGCTGAATGGCTTTCTGTCCGTAAAAAAAGCTGCAAGACGGAAACAAGTTTGGAGGTAAGGTCAAAAGTTAGGCGGTGCACTTGGAAATTTTCTCGATAACTACTAGAAATTACGCCCAAAGTGAGTCATGTGCCTAAGGTATGCTTTTTAATAACCACAAGGAATACTTAGAAGGTATTGGTCCTAAACATTTCACCTAGGAAATTCATAATATCACTCACTGCAAACATTTTGGAGTGCCACTATATTTACGTAGCTAGTAACGCAAGCAACACTTAACTCACTAGTCAGTAGCGCTGTGATGAAACGGAGCGCCAGTCCAATATCCAGTATCTTTTTACGAGCTAGCGTAAATCAATTGATTTCTTTGCGCTCGCTTCTAGGTCTTGCGGAACGGTTCTAGGTCTTTGGTGTATTCCAGTGCAGTAGGTCTACCCACTAGGATGCTGCAGCTCGTGTTAGCCCGATGGGGGTTGGCTGTTGGTTAAATTTGTAGGGAGTGTTGTTTGTTTGCTTGCTTTTTCTTCCGAGGACCGTGGTGCAGATGGGTTCCTCAAGTGTCGTGCCAGCAGACAGTTGGTCGGACTGGTTGTAAAAGGGAGACGAAAATGTGTGCAGAGAATCAAGGGAGAGAAAGTGCAGAGAAAGACAAAAGAGAAACAGAAAAGGAAAAAAGAAAGAAAAAGATCATGAAAAAGAAAACGGCACGGCAGAAGAAACATTAGTAGGTTCATGGGGTAAAGGTTATAGAGAGAGCTTTTGTTAAAATTTGAGAGCGTGAAGTCAGAAGGGAGAATAATAAATGACATGATAGGACGAACGGGAATATAGTAATTCTTTTAGTAGGAGACGGTAACTGGATGGGACGTCTACAGGAAGGTATAAGGTTGAGCCAAGTTCTCGGTAGTTGTGGTTTTACAAAGTGTTCAGTAACGGTTGGTCGTACCGAGTTAGTAGGTCGTGTTATCCTAGTCCACATCCCAGCTGGATAAGAGTAAACAGTGCGTCGCTGCGTAACCGTCAAACCTCTTCTTGAAGCTGTTAACAGACGGAGCAGTAGCAATCTCGGCAGGCAATACGTTCCGGTGGCCGCAGAACTGGCAGAGAGAAAAAGTGTGATCGCACACGGGTTTTTGCTCTTTGGTGGGAGATTCTCCTTGGGTTACCACGAGGATCGCCATAGATGCCGTTCGGTGGGTTGCGCTGTTCGGATGACTTGGGTTACCGAGTATTTTGTAAGCTGTTACCGAGTCACCACGAAATCTAGTTTTGTCAGTCAGTATTAGTCCTAGGCCCTTCTCTGTGGTGGTGTGAGAAAGTCGTGTTCCACAGAGAGAGGAGGGTATCTTCTGATAGTCAGCGGTGCGGAGAAACATGGCAAGCCGCTTAAATGCTAGTTCATTGATATCCACCAACTCTGCAAGTAATCTGAGGTCACTTCGCAGTGTGCTTGATTCTGTCTTCGACGTCATAGCTCTCCATGACTTAACATCATGAGCGCAAAGGAGAATTGGGGGGCTGAGATTCAGTGGGAGGTGGTTCACAAAAGAAGGATTAGCAGTGGACCCAGTATCGCCCCTTGTGATACACTAGATGATGATGTCCTCCAAGCCGAGTAAACTATGTTGGCCATTGTGCAGAATTGTCTACCGTCTAGATAGTCCTGTAACCACGAAAGCACTTGTCCCTTGGTGCCCAACCTTTCTATTTTGCGAATAAGAACGGCATGTGGAACTGTGTCGAAGGCCTTGGCAAAATCCAGGAAAATAACATCGACAGGAATTTGGAGGTCCCAGCATGCCATCCACTTATCACCTGCCACCAGAATGTTTGTGGCACAGGACCTGCCCTTTTT